AATATCCCAAAAATCCCTTCTCAATCTCTCAACAAATTTTTCAAAAGTTTTCTCAATCTCAACAAATATTCCCAAAATCCCTCCTCAATCTTTCAGCAAATTTTCCACACCCCCTTCCAATATTCCCAAAAACACACATTTCCAAACCGAAACAACCACCACGTACGTCCACAAACCCCTCAAAACCCAAACCTCCCCAAAAAACTTCTTTCCAAAACTCCTCACAATTTTCCACCTTCCTCCCTTTCCAACTCAAAACCACTTCAACCTCAATTCCCCAAGAAGAAACCAAAAAAAAAAAACCACAAACACCCATACACAACCAACTTCACAATTTCTGCAGCAATCCTGAAGGAAGCACAGAACAGGGACTCATACGAGAGTTAAAAATCGTCCGAGTTTGCAGGCGAAACGGCGGTTTGTCAGGGAAAACAGACGTGGATCCTTGACGAATCCACAGGACGGCGGAGCATTCGAGTGGCTAGAGAGAAGGGAGGGAGGAAGAGTTTAATATGTACGGGAACAGAGGTGGAGTCGGAGGGTTTAATATGTACGACGTCCTCGGGGCGTTATAATCGTTGGGTATCGATCACCGGCCGCCTATGACGCAGTGTCTGCTTCGAGGGACTTCGAATTCGTCCAATCAGAGAACACAGGACGACCGAATGATGACCTCGTCCTTCCTAATCACCCTTTGACTCCGGGCGGAAACGGGGAGGCTGGGAGGGCACGCCGTCTAACGTGCATTGGAACGGGGAGAGATCGATTCGCGATTATCGGCAGAAACGTCCAAGTTTTTCCGCGGGAAAAAAGAAATTCGAGGGGAAAAATGAGGGAATTGGAGCAGCTCTTTTGAAATTGTTACGTCGAAAGGAGCGGGGTAGTAAAAGTTTGTTGAGAAACTTTTCTGTCTAATGTTTGGTTAATGTTGATGTTTGAAAAGTTTCTGTTTAACGTTTGGTGAAATGTTTCTGTCTGTGTTATCATTTACAATATCGTTCATAAGTATTAAACTGTTAGTTGGGAAGACGAATTAACTCGTCGTTGTTTTAGAAATATTTAGGACGCAGTGGTTTTTTTATTTGAGAAATTATTCATCTTTAATTGTATTGTTATGTTTTTCTACATTGAGTACTTATATAAGATGCGTCTTGTTCATATTTTCAAGAAATAAAATGAAGCAATTGGTTGTAATTTTTACTCATCCTTTATTGTACACTAGGAGAGGTCAATTTCTGCTTGAAAAATAAACACAGTTGAGAGATTAAGGGGTAAACCACCCTGAAGCCTCCAAAAAAGGGAAAACTTTGGGAATTTTTTTCATAGATAACTACTAAATGAAAAGTTTCAATTTTTTTACAGGATATAAATGCAACGTTCAGCTTCTTTCTACAATTTTTGA